ATTTGAAGAAGCCAAATTCATCCAGAAGATTAGAAGAGGGCAGAGACAGGGAGCCTGGGTGGAGAGGATGTGGTGCGGCATGGAGATGCAACTGTGTCAGGGGCAGTGGTGGAACGTGCAGTCCCACCTTCACGTGTAGTAGATAAAAATCAGGAGGGATCCATTAGGATCGAGCAATCCCAGCTCCAGGGCAGACCGCAAGGATGTCAGAAGGAGAATAGGAATGGCAAGAAATTGAAAATTTATTTGAAAAAATAATGAAAGAAAACATCTCTACTTTGGTGAAGGAAATAGACATACAAGTCCAGGAAGCACAGAGTCCCAAACAAATTGGACCCAAAGAGGACCACATCAAAACACATCATAATTAGTATACCAAAGAAAAAAGATAACGAGAATCTTAAAAGCGGCAAGAGAAAAGCAGAGAGTTACCTACAAACGAGTTCCCATAAGACTATCAGCTGACTTATCAAAAGAATCTTTGCAGGCAAAAAGGGGCTGGAAAGAAGTATCTGAGGTGATGAAATGCAAGGAACTGCAATCTAGATTACTCTGTCCAGGTAAGCTATCGTTTAGAATCAAAGGGCAGATAAAGTGCTTCCCAGAGAAGGTAAAGCTAAAGGAGTTCATCCTCACCAAGTCCTTATTATACAAAATGTTAAAGGGACTCATTTAAGAAAAAGATCAAAACTATGAACATTAAAATGACAACAGACTCACAATTATCAACAACTGATTCTATAAAACAAAAAAATAAACTAGGCAAACAACTAGAACAGGAACAAAATCATCGGTATAGAGATCATTTGGAGTTAGCAGGGAGGGGTAAGGGGGAGAAAGGAGGAAAAGGTACAGGGATTAAGAAGCATAACTGGTAGGTAAAAAATAGACAGGGGATGTTAACAATGGTATAGGGAATGGAGAAGTCAAAGAACTTGTATGTACAACCCATGGACGTGAACTAAGGCAGAGAATGCTAGAGGGAAGGGGGGTACCAGGTAGAGGGGGGCAAAGGGGGAAAAACTGGGACAACTATAACAGCATAAGATAGTATACTTTAAAAAAGATCTGTCCCCTAAAACAACATCTACAGACTCTGCAATTTGGAGGCTTTTTCTCAGCCTGTTCACTGAAGCCATTAAGAATATGCCAGCCATGCAGGAAGAAAACATTTTTATTAACAGTATAATCAACTTTAATCATGTCAAGTATATTATCTATTTACAACATGTGCAGTATATTCACCTTCTCATTGTCATCAACACCACTAGTGGATGCATGTTCATTTTACTATTAGGGAATATTTGTTGTAGACCACTTCTTGGAATGTACTTCAAAAAAAAAAACATAAATGACTTAGTAACTGTCGCTTATTTTGGATCTTCTCTCTACCTTGCGTGGCCTCCATTAGCAGAGGTGATCGGGAGCAGGCAGGAGGTCAGGCTTGCTCAGGTTTCAGAAGTTTGAGGTCAGATGCTAGTGAGTGGTTCTGCCGACAGGATACTGTTCACTGCAGCAGGTGAGGGGGCCCAAAGCAGAGGCCAAGTTTCCCTCTGCTAGAGAGTGCACTGCGATGTCTCTACCATCAGATGGAACTCATTAGGGGCTTCAAAATTATTTGTAGTTTAAAGTATATGACATCCAAATTAAAGTGTATAAAAATACTTTTGTAAATGCTAAATGTCTTTGAATAACAAAAACAAAATATACCCAACCAGCTCTGAAATCTTAAATCTACCCACAGACCAATTTTTCCCATTTGTTTAAAAGGAATATTTTTCAGCTGTCTTATTTTTCTTTTTTTTTTTTTTTTTTTTTTTTTTTCCTTTTTTTTTTTTTTTTTTTCTTATTTTTTTTTTTTTTTTAGGAGATTAAAATTTTCTGCTTCTTTGTTGAAATTTATCTTTATGTGCAGTGAATATTTCCTTAGGATACTTAGAATTGCTTGAAAGAAAATTTTCAATTTGACAAGAAACTGTCTAAATGTCCCTTAAAAAGGCCATTCCAATTTATACTAGGTTATTACCGCCATGCATCCATTTTCCAATACAGTCACCAATACCACATACTATTAATCTTCTAAATATCTGTCAATTTAATGAGTACAATATTGGTGTTTCACAATTTTAGGCTGCATTTCCCAGATCATTAGCTACTTTTATTTTTCTCTTCTGTGAAATATAAATATTTCTATTTATACTCTTTGTCCATTTTTCTTCTGTTACCTGTGAACATTGTCATATATTATCTATCCTCCTTGTCTGTCATTATTTTAACTTTGTTTATTTTGCTACTGTCATATAGAAATTTAATTTTTAATAATTTAGTCAAACTTCAATCAAATCTTTTTCTCTGTGACTTTACATTTTTCTTGGCTCTATATCTCCTAGTTATAAAACACTCTCCTACACTTTTTTTTAAAAACAGAGATTTTGGGCCCTGACTGGTGTGGCTCAGCTGGTTGGGCATTGTGCCACGAAGCACAAGGTCACCGGTTCGATTCCCATTCATAGCACATGCCTGGGTTGCAGGTTCAGTCCCTGGTCAGAGCACATACAAGTGGCAACTAACTGATGTTTCTGTCTCACATTGATGTTTCTCTCCCTCTCTTTCTCCCTCCTTTCCTCTTTCTTAAAAAATAAATAAATAAAATATTTAAAAAAATAAAACAGAGGTTTGGCATAGATGTCCTATCCTTGTGAGGTGCTGAGGAAATAGATGGGAGGAGAACTAAGTTGCCAGGAAATTTCCTCCCCAAACCTTCCTGCTCCATCCCCTAGAGCTGTTGACTATGATTTAGCTTCATGTCCTTCTCATGCTGTTTGGGGGAACAATAGGTGACACCCTAACTTAGACCTGACTAGGACTGGGGTGTGACCTCCCCACATTCCAGTGCCTGGCAGCGGAGCTGATACCCCTGGAGGAAAATGAGCTTACAGGCCAAAGCAACATGGTATTTGAGAAGTGCAAGCACTGCAAAAGAAAGACAACATAATCAACTACAAAGCCTGTCAGCAGCAGAAATATTAGAACTGAATGACCAAGAATTTTAAATTGGATTGCTAACTCTACTAAAAGAAATATAGCAAAATGAAACAAGAACAAGAAAACATAGGAACAAGCCAAGCAGTATCAGGTATCAAAAATATAATAGTGCATATAAAGAATACAATGCATGGTATAAATAGCAGATTGCAACAAATTTAAATATTGGAAGATGAGATTCAGAACATCTCCCAGAAAGCAGGGAAAAAAAACCAAATAGATTTTAAAAATAGCTAAGACCAAAGAAAAAGAAAAAAATATATCCACAATTACCCAAAATAAAAATCAAGGTATTATCAATATGGTAGTGGTTGCGGTGAGGGAGACCAAACAGAAAGAGAGCTTCCTGTATCCAATTCCCCAAACCTAAATTTTTTTAGATAAAAATTTTAAAAAGCAGGAATGCAGGACAAGTTGAAATAATAAGAGATGTGAGAAGTATGTCTGAATTTAGAAATGAGAAAACAATGACTAGTTCTTGGGGAAAACACTGTGTAAGAATACTCCATGCATATCATATGTACACTAGATGGCCCTTGAAAATATTTACAGTCATAATAATGGAAGGGTGAATATCTGTTTACCTAGCCAAAATCATGGGACACACACCGCAGGAAGAAGGGGACACAGTAAGGCTGCATGTGTGTGACAGGGGCGAGGGAGGAAAGAGCCAAATCCTTGTCTCCCGGCCGGAATCAAGAGCTAATGCATAAAACAGACAAATTAAAAGGTGGCTCAACAAGAGCAGAGTTTAGAGGCATGGAGTTAAATGGCAAGATACTCTGCCATAAATGAAGCGACAGTGGTTGCTTTTAAGGAAGGCAATGCAGCGGACACATGGGTGCAGAGCTGCGGTCCTTCAAAACCCTTTCACAACTACTTGAGTCTTTACGTGATATGTAACCTTTTTTTTCATTTACTGATTTGAGAGAGAGAGGAAGTGGGGGCGCAGCGGGGAGCAGAGAGGGAAACCCCGATTTGTTGTTCCACTTCCTCGTGCATTCACTGGCCAATCCTTGTCTGTGCCCTGACCTGCGGGGATCAAACCCACAACTTTCACATACCCAGAGGGCGCTCTAACCAACTGAGCCAATCAGTGAGGGCATGTGTAACTTTTATAAAAACAAATATTTAAGCATATGAAAGAAAAGAACGGAACCCAGATTTACCCTCTCTCCAGCTTGGAAAGTCTGACTCCCAAAACCAGACTATTTACATACTATGCAGAGTTTCTTCCATGGAAGACACTTGAGGAAATCAGCTGAAGATAGCATGTCCCATTGAGGGAGAAAGAACCACTCTATTCATTAAAAGGTATGAACTCCCTTTCTCATTCACCTCTGGTGGAAATCTGGAGATGATTCTGGTCTCACTGGGAATGAACTGTGGCTTCCTCCTCCTTTTCCCACAGGCTGGTAACCCTCTGTCTAACAGAAGGGGTGTCAGGGCTCCTCCCTGACTTCCGCTCTGTCAAAGCTATTAAAACGGCTTCCTCAGAAAGCCCAGTTCTCATCTTCTTTTTTCAAACCTTTATCAGAAATAAGGATTTTTTTCTTCCACAAATACTTACTCCTGCTCACTACCGAGAATAACCCATGGCCTGCAAAAATTTGCACTGCTTCCACATCAAACATAGACAACACTGTATAAAGATAGGATCTTGGCAAGCCGCAATGCTTGTGATAGTCACAGTATTTCCATCTTTTATTATCAAATACATCTTGAACACACAATTGCTATGGCGATTTCCAAGAATGTAAACAAAAAAATGTTAGACACGTTGAATCCTGCCTGCCTGTTTAGATGATGTGAGCAGAGCCAGAGATGTCTTACATTCAAGCATTTGCTCCTATTCCTTATTTACAGGTCCTGAGATGGAGTTTCTTTTAGGTGTTAGGAGCAAATCACGTTCATATATGAAAGGAAACAGAGCAGTTTAGGGAAGGCCCACGTACCTTCAGCATGTAGTAGAAGGGTAACCATGAGAGGAAGAAGTCGGAGAAGAATTCGGCAATGCTGAACACACCATACACGACCCAGTAGGTCAGCCACTGGGTATCATCATCTTTGTTGGGACTCTCTATGGCTTTAATTCTGGAAGGCAATCCAAAAGCAAGTGTATCATTTAGAAAGATCTCAATGAAACATTTTCAAATATATTACCACAGCCTGCCTTCCAACACCAACTGAGAAACTCTAACAAATGTATGCACTGTGTCACTAGACACAAGATTACAACATAAAGCCAGGAGATCAGGACAACGTGGAGATCAGGACAAGTTATAACTACTTGTCCCCATGTTCTAGTCACCAGAAGAACCAGTACCGGCTGTCCCCTAGATCTCCACCCTGCTCAGCCTCTATCCAGTCCCCAGGAGACAACACCAATGGCTGGGAACCTGAGTGCTTCCCACTCTTGAGAGGGTTCCTGCCACCAGGGATCTATCAAGAATTCTCTGTGGAACTTCAGTTCTTACACACTTTTATAACTGCAGTACATCGTGGGTGAATAGGAATTTCCATAAAAGAACTTTTGGAACACAGTTCAAGCACTTCCCAAAGTCCATAATGTATTTCCTAACAAACAGGTGAAAACAACCATCATGGCATACTTTTGGTTCTACATGAGACCTTCAGACTGTGGTCTTTCCTTCATCAGTTAATAACTAACATGAATTGCTCAGTACCAACTACTACTTAAAATTCATTTTGCAGACGAATAGAAATAAATTTAAAATAATATTTTGCTTCTTACATTAAGTTCCCATCCCCTCCCCCATCCCCTTTAGCAACCATCAGCTTGTTCTCTGAGGATGTTTGTTTTCTTTATGCATTTTTCAAAATTTCACATATAAGTGAGATCATCCAGTATTTGTTTTTCCCTGTCTGACTTAACTTCACTTAGAGGCATATCCCTCAGCTCTAGGTCCGTCCATGTTGTCATAAATGGCAAGATTTCATTTTTATGGCTGAGTAACATTCCAGTGTGTAGGTAGGTGTCCAGCAATAGATGGATGGCTAAAGATGTACAAATGGACAAGTAGGTTGTTTCTGTAGCTTAGCTATTACTAGTAATGCTGCAATGAACATAGGAGTCCATGTATCTTTTCAATTTGTGTTTTTGTTTTTCTTCAGATAATACCCAAAAGTAGGATTGCTTGATATTGTGACAGCTCTATTTTTAACTTTTTGAGGACTCTCCACAGTGGCTGCACCAGTCTGCATTCCCACCAACAGTGCACTAGGGTCCCCTTTTCTCCACATCCTCACCAACACTTGTGGGGTTTTTTTGTTTTATTTTATTGCCTTTTTATTATCTTTTGTTGTTGTTGTGGATTTATTGATGATAGCTATTCTGACAGGTGTGAGGTGATCTCATTGTGGTTTTAGTTTGCATCTCTCTGATGATTAGTGACCTTGAGCATCTTTTCCTATGTCTGTATGTCCTCTTGACGGGGAATGTCTATTCAGATCCCCTGCTAATTTTTTTAATTGGATTGCCTTTCTGGTATTAAGTTGTATGAGTTCTTTATATATTTTGGACCTTAATCCTTTATCAGACGTATCATTTGCAAGTATCTTCTCCCACTCAATAGGTTGCCTTTTTGTTTTGTTAAAGGTTTCCTTTGCTGTGCAAAACTTTTTAGTTTGATGTAGTCCCATCTGTTTCTCTTGTTCAAGGATATATAACCAAAAAGATATTGCTAAGAGAAATGTCAAAGAGTTATCGCCTATCTTTTCTTCTAGGAGTTTTATGGTTTCAGGTCTAACATTTAAGTCTTTAAACCACTTTAAGTTTATTTTTGTATACGGTACAAAGTGATTTAGTTTCATTGTTTTGCATATATCCGTCCAATTTTCTCAACGTTAACTTATCTAAGAGACTGTCTTTACCCCACTGTACATTCTTGCCTACTTTGTCATAGATTAAATGACCATATAAAAAAGAATTTATTTCTGATCTCTCTATTCTACTCCATCGATCTATGTATGTTCTTATGGCAGTACCTTTCTGTTTTGATTATTGTAGCTTTTTGATGTAGTTTGATATCATAGGTCGTGATACCTCCCACTTTGTTCTTTCTCAATATTTCTTTGGCTCTTTGGGGTTTGTTGTGGTTCCATATAAACATTAGGATTAAGTGTTCTAATTTTTAGAAAAATGACCTTCTTTCACTTCTGAATCACAGAAATCTCTTCCAGTCCTGGAAATCTCTTCATCCAAAACCTGAATTCCAAAACTTTTTTTCCTTTTATTCTATCCTAACATATGTCTGGATATTTACCATAACTTAAATAGTAAACTGGAAGAAATCTGAATCTTGTTTAGGTCATTATATGGGTTAAGTATTGAAAACACACTGGTTACTTGGTAAAATGTATTCCCCAAAGAGACAGTGAGGCTGCTGAATCATGCTGAGTCACTGACTAAGACAGCCTCCGAACTAATTAGACGCAGCTGTGGGTGCGCACGTGTGCGCGTGCAAGCACTTTGAGAGACAATAGCCAAAGGGGGGGAGCTGAATGAGTCAATTGTTACTGATATAAGGAAGAAGTGATGAAGTGAATGCTGCTTTGAATATCAAGACTGGGCAAGTTTTTCACTTTAAACATAAGAATCATATAAAATGAATTTAAGAGAGTTGCTTGTAAAATAATGGCCTGTACCATGCAGACTGTGTCTGTGTTTTAGCTTTCCTCAGAGAGAAGCTAGCTAATCTAATAGAAAGTGGAAGAAAAAAGTGTAGGCAAGCACATTAACTAAAGAACTAACAACAGTACACCCTTTACACGTACGGTTTTTTCCTTTGTGCTTCACCTGAGTGTGGTTTATTATCTGCTTATGTCTAAGTGGATTTTTAAAGTTATTAGTATGATAAAGTTTTATTTCTTATACATTCAATCCTGGGCAGAGGATACACCATTATATTTCAGTTCAGGTCTTAATTTTGGGAACTAAAACAGTCCTTGAGTAAGTAAACACACATGATTCAGTAAACACACATAAATATAAACTGCTAAACATTTCATGAAACCACCTGACATTTTAAATTCCATTCTATCATTTTTTGTTTAATTTTTAATCCTCATCTGAGGATATGCTTACAGAGGAAAAGTTAAACATCAATGTGAGAGACATCGGTCAGTTGCCTCCTATATGCATCCTGACCAGGGATCAAACGCACAACCTAAGAATGTGCCCTGACTGGTGACTGAACCCACAACCTGTTGGTGTATGCGATGACACTCCAACCAACTGGGCCACCCAGCTGTGCTTTTCTATTATTATTTTTAAGACATTAGTCAAGATACACAGATTCAAAAAAAAAAAAAAACAAAACCCCTACCCTAACAGTTCAAATTCAGTGCTTCGAGGGATGAAAAAAATAATTAGTTCCTTAATTTATCAACATGAATTCAGAAGTTTCTATAGTAATACATTTGGAACATTATATACTGAAAAGTAGAAAGAACTGAAAATTGAACACACACATTGATCACAACTTTGTAGAAAACCAAGGCAATGAAGAAAAACAGGTAAAGACCAGTCTTATTAAGGTAAAGATATTTTTTTAATAGAACTTCTCATATTATTGAGCATTTAATTATTGTGTTTTTTTAAAGACTTTATTTATTTATTTGAGAGAGGGGGAGAGGAGGAGAAAGAGAGGGAGAGAAACATCAATGTGCAGTTGCCTCTTGCCTGTGCCCTGCCAGGGACCTGGCCCACAACCCAGGGATGTGCCCTGACTGGGAATCAAACTGGCAACCCTTTGGTTCTCAGGCTGGCACTCAAGCCACTGAGCCACACCAGCCAGGGCAACTATTGTGTTAATTTAAAATAACACGTTTATTTTAAAAAAATATGTCTACATGTCATAACATTATAAGCTACTTGGAACAAGAAATATTGAAGACAGTCTCACCCATTCAATTTATAGTTGAAGAACCTGAGACTCAAAAAGGTAGAGAAGAAAGCTTAAAACTGGAGGTTCCTGAATGCTATTTACTTATATTCTTTCTTTTCCAGGTGAGTGGACATAGGTGATTATTCAACAATACACTCTACTCCCTTGTACATATATACTGAATCATATTTTAACTTTTGTATCGGAAGGAGGGTGTATCAACTTATCAGGCAACAGGGGATTCAAGAAATCACACGATGCGTTCTATGCCTTTAAGTCATTTGCAGTCCAGCCCAAATGGCAAAGCTAAAGCATGGGAAGGGTGAGAAGCCTTATTTTGAGGGGAAGAAACAGAGACACGGCCAGGGTGCAGAGGTGGCCGGCAACACTACGAGAGCAGCTAGTAGCTCTAAAAATTCACTGAGCAGAATTAGAAATCACAGAATGTGGACTCGGAAGATATCTTAGTGATAAACTAGCTCCAAATCTGTATTTTATAGACAAAAAATTAGTTTCAAAGAGGAAAGACATATTAAAATGAATTTCAACTCCAACCATAATATTATGGAAGCATGTGTTCACACATTTTTTTAAGATCAAGAATGGACTATTTAAGTAAATGTTTTGTGTATCCATACACTGAAATATTCTGAAGCTTTAAAAAGGATGCTGACAGGGAAAGATGGCTAAGATATAATGTCAAGCCTAAAAAGGAGATTACTAATTTTGTGTAAAAAAAAAAAAAAAAAAAAAAGACATGTTGGTGTGTTTACAGATTAAGAATGGTGTCCAGAAATACATATTTCAAATTGTGTGAAGTTATTCCGTGTACTGGAATTGCAGAATTTTACTTTTACTGTCTTTGCAATGAGCATGTATAATTTTTTATGATAAAAGGAAAAAAGATGATTTCTATTTGGGAAAAAAAATGGGCACCAGACTTTCTGTAACTACCTATGTCCTCCTATGAGATTAGGTCTCTCTTTAGGGCTTTATTAAAAACAAACACTAAAGTGAACATCAGACACATTCGCCTAATTTCTCTCTTGAGGAAACAGCTCATGACTTTCTCAGAAACAAACTTCTCTAACAATGATCAGACACAATCTGTTGTTTTAGAGCATTAAAAGGCCTTTAAAATATACATAAAGACACACAGAGAGAAAAAGAGTCACACGACCTATC